AGAGAAACAGAAGTAGAAACATAGACAGAAGTAGAGACATAGAGACAGTATCTTTTACTGACCGAGCGGTTATTCGCTTAACGTTTTCCCAGCCCTCGTATCCGCATGTCTCAAGGGCACGGAGCCAGCCCTACAAGGGAGGCGGTAGATATGTTTTGACTCTCGGGCTCCTCTTCGTCCCCTCCAATGGGTCGCAGGTCACTGGCCGCGCCCGCCCCGGCGAGAGAACTCGGGGGGACACGGAGCTCAGGTCTGTTTGCTGCGGTTGTGTCCGTGCGTTGCCTTTTCTTTATTTGTTGTTGTTGTTGTTGTTGTGTGTGTGTGTGAGTGTGAGTGTGAGTGTGAGTGTGAGTGTGAGTGTGAGTGTGTGTGTGTGTGTCTGTGTGTCTGTGTCTGTGTGTTTGTGTGTGTGTGCTCAATTGTATTTTTATTTGTAATTTGATTTTGCTTGTGTACTTGTGTGTTGATGTTTTGATTTGCATAGCTGTGTACCTTGTTGGATCCATGAGCTTGTGCGAGTTGATACATCCGGAAGCGCTCAGACGATTGAATGAGAGTATGCGAGTGAATGACCGAGTGACTGATGGATGGATGTGTCGAGACTGATGTGAGGTTGAATGATTCGGCTTAACTGGCGCGGTATGTTCTTGGGAAGTGAATTGCTGTTAAAAGATGTAAGTCAATCTGGCATGTGCCGTGGGAGTCCTACCGTTAGGGTGAATGAGTAGGTAATGCGCGGAGGGGGAGGGAGGGGGGTGGGGAGAAGGAGAGGGAGGAGAAGGAGAGACAAAGACTGAGACAGATATATATATATATATATATATATATATATATATATATATATATATATATATATAGAGAGAGAGAGAGAGAGAGAGAGAGAGAGAGAGAGAGAGAGAGTGTGAGTGAGTGAGTGAGTGAGTGAGTGAGTGAGTGAGTGAGTGAGTGAGTGAGTGAGTGAGTGAGTGAGTGAGTCAGAATCAGAGCGCGTATGTGTGCGTATGTGAGAGAGAGTGAGGAAGCATTAGGACGGAAAGAATCTTTGCCGTGCGTCGTCAGTTTGAACGCCACGTCGGAAGAGTCACGGGACGTAGCGAAAGAAACGGCAGAGACAAGCAAGGGCCCGTTGTAGTGTGTGTGTGTGGGGGGGGGGTGGAGGGAGGCTAGGGGCGCTTGGTCTTTGTAAATAAGGATGACGGTAATAAGTGCTAACAGTATTGATCCCCTCTGCCCCCTCTCTTCCCCCTCCCCCTTGCCATCAACTGGCCTGCGTGTACTACCAGTTTGCTAAGGGAACAGTTGTGATGGACAGGTGGTGCCCCTCCCATCCATCCCCCCCTTCCTCCCCCACTGCCTCTCCCCTCCCTCCTCTTTACCCCATTTTCCTTTGTCGAGCCCTCTTCCCTCTCCTCCCTCCCCCCTTCTCCCCTCTTCCCCTATTCCTTTCCCCCTTCCTTTCTTCCCCGCTGCTGTCCCCTTTCGCCACCTCAGGATTAGCACGTGAAGGAATATTATCTCCTCGCTGCCTGTGTTTACCAATTTCCAACCTCGACCTCCCCTCTCTCTCCCTCCTTATCTCCCCCCCCCTCCTTTCCTCCCTTCCTCCTTTCCTTGGCCCTACTTCCCTTCCTACCTTTCTCCCTTTCTCCGGACCTCCCTCCCTCCCTTCCCTTTCTTCCTCCGGACCTCCCTCCCTCCCTCCCTCCCTTTCTTCTTCCCCTCCCTTCCTACCTTTCTCCCTCCCTCCTTCCTTCCCTCCCTCCCTCCCTCCCTCCCTCCCTCCCTCCCTCCCTCCCTCCTCCTTCCTACCTTTCTCCTCCTCCTCCTCCCTCCCTCTCTCTCTCTCTTCTTCCCTCCCTCTTCCCCCCTCCCCCTCCTTTCTCCTCCCCTCCTTCCTTCCTTCCCTACTTACCTCTGTCCGTCACTCCCCTCTTTGTCTCCCTTCCTCCCTTCCTCCCCACCCCGATATTGACCTCTTGACAACATGTTATCTCTGCTTTTTCTCTTCTGATTCCCTTCCCCCTTCTATTCCTCCCTCCACGCCTCTCCCTCGCCTTTATTTGGGTGTTGATCTGCCACCTAATCCTCTTCCCTCCACCTCTCCTATTCCCTCCACCTCTTTCCTTCCCTCCACCCCTCCCCCTTCTCCCCCTCCCCCCTATCTCTGCTTTTTCTCTTCTGATTCCCTTCCCCCTTCTATTCCTCCCTCCACGCCTCTCCCTCGCCTTTATTTGGGTGTTGATTTTCGGCCGTAAAGAATTTATCTATTTCTACCCTCCTTACTTCCTTTTCGGTCAGTTTCCTCCTTTTCTCTTCTCTCTTCTCACTCTTCTTTCTTTCCTTCACCTTCTTCCTTTACCTTTCTCTTCTTCCTCGGCTCCACCTATTCTTTTCCACCGTTTCGTCGTCCATTCCCCTTTCCTCCATGTCCATTCTCCATTCCCTCCCACCTCTCCTTTCTTTTGGCCTTCCCTCTCCCCGTCTCGGCCTTCCCTCCACACCATCTGCCACCTAATCCTCTTCCCTCCACCTCTCCTATTCCCTCCACCTCTTTCCTTCCCTCCACCCCTCCCCCTTCTCCCCCTCCCCCTTCTCTCCCCTTCTCCTCCTCCCCCTTCTCTCCCCCTTTTCTCACCTCCCCCTTCTACCCCCTCACCTTCTCCTCCCTCCCTCATCTCCCCCCTTCTCCCCCTCCCCCCTTCTCTCCCTTCCCCCTTTTCTTCCCCCTCCCCCTTCTCTCCCCCTCCCCCTTCCCTCCCCCTTCTCCCCTCCCCTTCCCCCCCTTCTCCCCCCTTCTCCGCCTCCCCTTCCCCCCCTCTGACCAATCTTCTCCAACCAGAACAAATCTGTCACGATCGACCTGGCAGGGAAAGTATCGACGTAGTGTATAAAAATGAGGCACCGATGTATATTTCTTGTATATTCTATCTTATTTTTTTATTATTTTTTTTCTTTTTTTCTTTCTTCTTTCCGCGACTTCTTATTCATGATGTGGAAATGTGTCTGCGGTTGGCGTCAGCGGGAGCAAACCGTGTGCTTGTTTTTTTTTTTTTTCTTCTTGTGATGTAGCAATTTGGGCGTCGTCGTCGCCTTCGTCCCTCCTCTTCCTCCTTCATTCTTCTTCTTCTTCTTCTCCTTCTCCTTCTTCTTCTCCTTCTCCTCCTTCTCCTCCTTCTCCTCCTTCTCCTCCTCCTCCTCCTCCTCCTCCTCCTTCTCCTCCTTCTCCTCCTCCTCCTCCTCCTCCTCCTCCTCCTCCTCCTCCTCCTTCTCCTCCTTCTCCTCCTCCTCCTCCTTCTCTTCCTCTTCCACCTCCTCCTCCTCCTCCTCTTCCTTCTCCTCCTCCTTCTCCTTCTTCTCCTCCTCCTCCTCCTCCTCCTTCTCCTCCTCCTCCTCCTCCTCCTCCTCCTCCTCCTCCTCCTCCTTCTCCTCCTTCTCCTCCTTCTCCTCCTCCTCCTCCTCCTCCTTCTCCTCCTCCTCCTCCTCCTCCTCCTCCTCCTCCTCCTCCTCCTCCTCCTCCTCCTTCTCCTCCTCCTTCTCCTCCTCCTTCTCCTTCTCCTCCTCCTCCTCCTCCTCCTCCTCCTCCTCCTCCTCCTCCTCCTCCTCCTCCTCCTCCTCCTCCTCCTTCTCCTCCTTCTCCTCCTCCTCCTCCTCCTTCTCCTCCTCCTCCTCCTCCTTCTCCTCCTCCTCCTTCTCCTCCTCCTCCTCCTCCTCCTCCTCCTCCTCCTCCTCCTCCTCCTCCTCAGCCTGTGTAGCGGTGCGATAGAACCTGCTCATTTCACGCGATTGGTTCTCTCGAGTTCTCAGTCTGGATGTGTGTATGTGTGTGTATCTGTTTGTCTGTCTGTCTATCTATCTGTCTATCTCTCTCTCTATTTTATCTCTTTATTTGTACTTGTCTCCTTTTTTAGCTTTGCCTCTCCCTCTCCCTCTCCCTCTCCCTCTCCCTCTCCCTCTCCCTCCCAGCCAGCGTCGCCAGTGAGATGGAAACGCCACCGCGGTACACTATAGTCGGGCTCATTATGCGTAACGTGGGAACGCTAATGACACATTCGCCGTTTTAAAGCATGGCTCGGCGCTGACTCTCGCTCGGTGTGTGCGTGTGTGTGTATGCATGTCTATGTGTATGTGTATGTGTGTGTGAAGGTACATGTATACACATATACTTACAAATATATAGATATTAATACATAAATTTGTGTGTGTGTGTGTATGTGTGTGTGTGTGTGTGTGTGTGTGTGTGTGTGTGTGTGTGTGTGTGTGTGTGTGTGTGTGTGTGTGTGTGTGTGTGTGTGTGTGTTTGGTGTGTGTTTGTGTGTTTGTTTGTGTTTGTGTCCATCCATTCATGTATATAAGCCATACGTCTGCGAGTGTATGCATGCATGTGTATGCGTGAATTTATGAGGTGTGCGTATGTGAGTGTGTGTGTGAAGTGTGTCAGCATCCGAGTTCCTTCGCCGTGCTGATAATTATCATGGTAGAACTAAAATAGGAAGACGTATGTGTTTAGAAAAGTAGGCGATCGCTGAGTCAAGGGAGTGTGAGCTTCGGGGGACGGTAAGCTTGGGTCCGCCCGGCGTCGTGCTTAGTGCGCCGCCGAAGTGGTCGCATCGAGGGAGCCTTGCCTTTTTTGTGGGGGAGATTCTGCTGCATTTCGGTTTGTAAAAAGACAGAGAAATCGAAGGAAAACGAATGGGCAGCTATTTTGGTTCCGTAATTTTGTTTCTTTTTTTTTGTGTGTGCATTTATTAAGAAAGAGAAAAATAAATACTTTTTTTTAATTTGTGTGTAGTTCGTCGTGGCCAGTGTCGAAAGAAAAGAATAGTCGACTATTTTTGTTTGCGGATTTTTTTTTATATATATGTCGTGAATAAAAAGAAAAAAAAACAGACAACGACGTTCTCGAGGTATTTATGAATTTTTTGTCGTCTCTCGCAAGGTTCTTTTGTTACTGAGGTAATTAATTTTGTGTCTTTTTTTTTCCCTCTCCTTCTGTGCTTTAG